GAGAGACTAATCTCAGTGAGACTCTGAAGCTACATTCATCAGGTCTTCTCGTCCTTTCTTTTGGCACCAACTCATAACATACAAGTTTGGAGTGACAAGAATTATGAGAAGTGATTGGATGGTGGATATATTTTAAAGGAGAGCTAATGGGTAACATGAAAGAGAGGAGACACACAGACCTGAGAAACTACTAAAGGAAGCCTTTCCCAGACCTCATCTTGGTCTGGTGGAGTTTATTTGTAACCCAAGGGGAAAGTTATTGGAATTCCAATAAACTAATTTCAGTCTACCATTTCCAGTGCAACCCATGTTGAGAATAAAGACAGTGAGATATATTTGTAGTTGTGAGAAGCCAAGAGGGTCCTACCCAGTCAGAACAACGGCTGACCTGAACAAAGGTCTTGACTGAGCCAAAACCTGATTTTATTAATCTGTGAAGTGGGGAGTGGCTCAGGGATGAGTGACTGAGAAAGGCAGAAAGTACATGGGTGCTCTGAGTTGAGCGAGGTAGGAAGCCTGAGACCATCTCTGCAACTTGCAGAGAGAGCTGCAGAAAGAGTAATGTGCATATCATGGATTAAGTGTCTAGTATTCAGGGGTTGGTACTTGAGCTTTGATGTACAATCTTCACACCCTGAGATGTTATGTCCCCTTTCTCAAGGCTCAGTCCCAACTGCTAGGGCAATGTCACTCACCCTAGTTCACAAATACTTGTTTGGAGCTACAGGTGGGCATCACTGACCTATCACATTGTTTTAAAAACTACATATCAGCACCTCAAGTAGACCCTTGCATAAAGCCAATTGAGGGCGTAAAGTAGTATCCTAGCCAGTTCTGTACATCACACACAGAAGTAGCGTCAAATGCTCTTCTCTCAAGGAGAGTCATTCAGGTAGTCCTAATTCCATCACGGTTCTGGCTGGTCTTGAATGAGTCTCTTTGGGGCACTAAGCAATCAGAGACTGTGTCCCCCACACCATTTCCTTAAATCACGCTAAACAGCAATATCCCAAGTTTTGTGTATGTGGTAGTCTCCAATTAATGAATCTGGGAAAGATGGATTAGTCACGTTTGACTACCAGAATTGACGCATTCAGGAGAGGGCCTTAATTTGTATGTTTCACTGGTGATACGTGCATGACTCCCCCACTGGGTGGCACTGGACAGCCATCGGGTTGCACAAGCCACCCGACAGGACAGTCATGCATACACAACTAGTGGTCCAAGTTGGGGGGATATGTTAATATTACATGACCTCCAAAGTGGTCTATAAGGCTTGCAACTTTGTCCTGGAGTGTCTGCCTATGGGACCCCTCAGAGCTGGCCACCCTTCTGTGAGGCCAAGCTCTCGGCCAGCAACAGCTGCTTGCCATGGTGAAAAGCCGGCTCAGGCGAGCCCTCAGAGTAGAACTCTGGCAATTTCACATACATTTCAAAACTCAGGATTGCTGTACCTCTTCTTTCTCATCTGTAGTTACATCACATCTGTGGCTCTAATTTTTTAACTACTAATGAAGTTGACATATTTTCATGTTCTGAGAAGTTGGTATTTCCTCATCTGTAAAATAGTCATATGGCATAGAAATTATTAAATCTGTACATACACATACGTACAAATATGCCTTAATGAAACACATTATTTTGTGTACTATATACTAACAAAAATGAAGTAATCCTATATCCTGATTTTTCCTATTAATTTGTAATAGGAAATTAAAATTTCCAGATTATATACTAATTTTCTGGGGATACTGTGTATTGATTTCATGTCATGACTTTTCATTTCCTTTTTAGTATATTTTCATAAGCAGTTCTTTAACATGAGCAAATACATCAAAATCTTCATATGGCTCATTTATATTAAGAAATCCTAGGCCAGCCATAGAGCTCAGCAGATTAAAGCGCAGGCACAGAGGCCAGGGTTCAGTCCACCAGGCTGCTCTGCTGGCCCTGCCCCCAAGGCACGCTGACAGCAACTGAGACTGGGCGTGGTAGCGCCTGTAATCCCAGCTCTTAGGAGGCTGTAAACAGGCCAATCATGAGTCCCATTTAAGTAGTGAGACCCGAACATCCTGTAGACTCTTTCCCCAAAATACAAAAAAACCCCAACCAAACAAAAAGAAACCCAAATAGCTCGGTGGATTAAAGCACCTGCTTAGGCAGACACAGTGGCTGGGGTTCAGTTCCCGGCCAGCCCCCAGGGTGCGCTGAGACGGCCATTGAGACTGGGCCTGGTGGTGTGCCCCTGTAACCCCAGCTCTTTGGGAGGCTGAACACAGGCCAATCACTATGAGTCTGATCTACATAGTGAGACCCTGTAGTAGACCCTGACTAAAAAAATACAAAAAAGGAAAGAAATCCTTCCCTTCCAGGTGTGGTAGTGCACACTTGTAAAGAATCCCAGCCCTCAGGAGGATGAGGCAAGAGGACCACCATGAGTTCAAGGCCAGCCTGGGCTACACAAGCAACTTCAAGGTTAGCCTGTAGTAGGTAGTGAGATGTCTCAACACACACACACACACAGCCCTCCTTCCCTGCTTTCAGGTCCCCAAGTTATTCCTTAGATATTCTTCTAAATAGTTGCTTTTTCACACAACTAGAGGGTCAGAACCCAGGTTTGTACTACTTTTATATCTCAGAGCACTACCAAATAGCTCATTCTTTCTCCATATTCCTTTCGATTCTTCTCTCTATATATGGCTTCAATCACAAATGCCTTTTACATTTTACCTTTTTTTCTGTAGGCTTTCAGTTTTTTAAAAAAAGTGACATCATGTTACTAGCTTTACTTTGGGATTACATTTGCTAAGATTGGTTTAGGATTTTTACATCTTCACAGATAACATCAGCAAGAAATTTTTCTTTCTGTATTTCCTTTGTCTGACTTTAATATTGGGTGAATTTATCCTCACTCTTTTCTGAATTTTATATAAGACTTGAATACTATTAACAGAAAGTTTGAGAGAGCCTATCTTAAAAACTGGGCCTGTCTTTGTTGGATTTTAACCCAGATTTAACTCCTTTGATAATTTTGAGACAATTCATACTTGGAGAGTTATCTTTTCCTAGGAACTGCCATGGATAGAATGTAAAAGAACAGTTATAGGAAACAGGATCTTAGAGATCCTTAAATGCCCTGAAAAGTGTTTTCCTCTCAAATCTGAAACAGTGACCAATTACTGCCTAGAGGTAAGATGAATGTAATCATTTTTGTTCTGCTTATTCTCCACTCCCCCTACTAAGACTTTTTTTTTTTCTTAAAGATCCCTGGTAAAAATGAGACAAACTATACTTTTATAAAATGTTTGCAGGCTGGGAAGATAGCTCAGCAGTCTAAGTGCCAGCCTGGCAAGCAGGACCCAGGTTTGATATCCATACCATGTGCCATGCCAGCTCTGGAACATGTTGTACCCACCACTGAAACTGGGTGTGGAAGTGCACACCTGTAATCCCAGTGCTGGGGAGGCTGAGATGGGAGGATCACTATGAGTCCAAGCTGCATAGCAAGACCCTGTACCAAATAAATAAATAAATAAATAATTAAAAAAAAAAACAAACAATGTTTGAGCCCCTCAGTATTTGCCTACTGTGAATTTTGCAAAATTAGATATTCTGTAGAACTCAACAATTTTATTAGACTTGTGATAAAACTTTTCTAGCTTACTAGTATAGTGATTCACGCTTTATAAATGCTGAGGCTATTAGTTCATTATCTTCTAGGGGAAAAAAAATCTAAACATAAAACCTGAATTCTACCCAGTGGCCTTCAGAGAGTAGGAAGGAAGTGAGCTTTATGTGGCAGCATGGAAGAGTGTAGGTGTGAGTAACCTGGTTAACTATTTCCTAGGATGACAAGCGGGGCTCCATGTTTCGGGTCATCTCAGTGACTGGTGACCAGAGAGCTCAAGGAAGTAAGGTCAGTGTGGGAGCTGAGGATCTTGCTCCTTGAGAGATTTTTAATTCCTACATTTATCATTAAGTTAAATAGAAAAAGTGGTAAGTTGTCTGTATAACCTTTACTTTTCAATTTAGTATAGCAAAGTAATCATTTTCTCAGAAGGACGAAAGACAGATGAAACACTGTGTACTTTGTGACAAAAACCGACTTCAGATTGGAATCAGGTTGGAACAAGTAGGAAAAATGCAAAGAACAGTATAGTTTCATAGTTCAGTGATTTTTTTTCTCAATGGCTTAGGAAGTGGCCTAAGGTTTTAATAACCACCAAGTATATAATTTTTCAGAATTTTAAAACAAATTTTAGTGACAGTGAGGTAGACAGTCACCTGTGTACATCTTTATCTCAAATAATCTAATGGGTTTGCATTAAATTAGATCTAGATGCAGTTTGAAAAAAATAAATTCCTGAACTGATAGCTGCACTTTTACCGGGATTTTACAGTGATACCTGTGAAAGCTGGCAGCAGTTAAACATCAGGTAAAATGCTAGTCCTCTAATCTCAGACAATCTGTTTTATAGTCAGTAACTTAAGAACATATAAAAACATTTTATCAATCCTTAATATTCCCAAGTTTATCCTGCATGATGTGTTTGATGAAGTCTACCTATGAATTTTTACCCACAATTACCTAACTATTCATCATGTTCTCTCCAGGATGAATTCTTTGATATTAAGTATGGAGTGGATTTCACCTGGAATATCTCCCACATGCATTTTACTCATACAGTTTTTCTCAATTATGAGTCCTCTGATGATTAGTAAGAGACGAACTCTGACTAAATGCTTTCCCACATTCTTTGCATTTATAAGGCTTTTCTCCAGTGTGAATTCTCGTATGTGTCATCAGGGATGAGCTCTGTCTGAAAGCTTTCCCACACACTTTACAGTTGAATGGTTTTTCTCCAGTATGGATTCTCTGATGCTGAATTAGGGCTGAGCTTTGGTTAAAGGCTTTTTCACAGTCATTACATTTATAAGGTTTCTCTCCAGTATGAATTTTTCGATGAGTATTCACTGCTGAGTGGGAACTGAAAGCTTTCCCACACTCTTTGCAATGATACGGTTTCTCTCCAGTGTGAATTCTGTGGTGTATGTTAAGCCGTGAGATCCAGGAAAAGGCCTTTCCACATTCATCACACTTGTAGGGCTTTTCTCCAGTGTGAATTCTCTGATGTTGGATAAGTGCTGAGCTTTGGCTAAAAGCTTTCCCACATTCTTTACATGCATATAGTTTCTCACCAGTGTGAATTCTCTGATGTATAATAAGGGCTGAGTGGTAACTGAATACTTTCCCACATTCATTGCAGCGAAAGGGCTTCTCTCCAGTGTGAATTCGGTGGTGTCTACTCAGCCGTGATATTGAAGTGAAGGCTTTCCCACAATGACTACACTCATATGGTTTCTCTCCAGTATGAATTCTATGATGCTGGATAAGAGATGAGCACTGACTAAAGGCTCTTCCACATTCATTACATTTATAGGGCTTTTCTCCAGTATGAATTCGCTGGTGATTGTTAAGAGATGAGCTACCTTTAAATGTTTTGCCACATTCCTTACATTTATAGGGTCTTTCTCCAGTGTGCATTCTCTGGTGCCCAATAAGAGAGGTAGTGAAACTAAAGGCCTTCCCACATTCATGGCATATGTAAGGCTTCTCTCCCGTGTGGACTCTCAGGTGCTGTGTCAGTGATGAGCTTTGGCTGAAGGCCTTCCTACATTCTTTACATTTGTAGAGCTTCTCTCCGGTATGGATCCTCTGATGTTTACTCAGGGAAGAACTATGGAGGAAAATTTTTCCACAGATATTACACTTATAACATTTACGGACTGTGTTGACTCCCAGTTGTTTAAATAGAACTGAATACTGCTGTGAACGGGGTTTTCTTCCTCTGGAAACAAGTCCAGGTTTTCTAGTAAGTGACAATGGTTTGGGATCAAGGGTTTTCCCACCTTCAACACTTTTAAAGTTCTTCTCTTTCATGTATGTGTTTTTGATGGTAACTAATACTTTCCTGAGAAGTTTGTTCTTTCTACCTTGTTGTTTCTCAAACTTGTCCTCACTGATGTAGGTTTTACCAAACTTGAAGTCCACAGGACCATCCAATAGGAAGTTTTTTATGGCTTCCTGATTTGCCTCTTTGGAAATTGTGGTTTCAAAGAAGCTCTCCCATCCTAAAGTAAATAAAACACGTAAGTCTTCTTGTATTGGGAATAAGAGTAAATGACATCAAAATATTCAAGTGTAGCTAAGAAATATAGCTTTGAAATCTTAGGGAAGGATGGAGACAGGAAAAGAAATATAATGAAACATGCATGAGTAGGATGGGCCCACAGAAACCTACATGCGGGGGCACTGAGGATTTCAATGGGAAGCTCTTCCAAGTGGAATAGGTTACCAGTAGCAAGGCACTTCTAGTAGAGCTTGTGAATACTTTTGCTTTACCTCTCAGTTCTATCATCTGTACATCTAGGTATATGGTAACAGAAAACTGCAGAGGCTAAAAGTGCCCTAAACAACTCTGCAGCGTAAGGTTTTAGTATTGCTACTGTGGGAGTCAACAGATACAAATCATGTGGTGGACATTCACTCCATGAACTTACCAAGGACCCACCTACAGAAAGAAAGGTCAAAACTTTTTTTTGCACAGGGTCTCACTACGCAGCTCAGACTCATGATCTTTCTGGTTTCAGCCTCCCCAGTGCCGGGATTCTAGGCATGCGCCACCACGCCCGGACTTGGTCGCTGGCTCAGAGCACCCAGGGGCAGGGCCGGTGCCACACGAACCCTACTCCCTGTGCTTGCCTAAGTAGGCGCTTAGTCCACTATGCTACCTTGCTGGCCCTAAACCATTTATTCTTGATATTACACCTCTGTATTCCTAGAGCTATCTCAGTAATTTTATAAACTGCACAAAGCTGGAAACTAAAACTCTAATCATTTATTTATTCATTCATTTATTTGGTACAGGGTCTTGCTATGTAGCTCGGACTCATGATCTTCCTGTCTCAGCCTCCCTAGGGCAAAAAACAATTCTCCAAGGAGAAAGGAAAGAAAGAAGAACTGATAGCAAGCTCATAAAAATATCACACACATAAACCACTCTGAAAAAATTACTCATGAACATATTCTAATCAAACCAAGGAGAAAAATCTGAAGGCCAATGGAAACCTAGGACCTCATTAACAAAGATTATCTCCTGCCAGAGAGAAATGATTTCTGGATAAGTGGCAAAGCTCAAGACAGCCAGCCTCTGGGACTAAAAGTGAAGGATAAACATCAAAGCAGAGTAGTCCACAAGAGCTTTAGAGAATCAGTGATATGTCACAGGGGCCAGAATCTGGAAGTTTGAAAAATTTTGCAAGAAAGAACCACATGATAAACATTTACAACCTGCTTTAATTGTGTAATTGTTACCCTTCTTGCTATACCTTTCACGTATGTGTGTGCACACATGCACTTTTACCTTTTTTTTTTTTTTTTTTGCTGAACTATGTATACTAAGATGCAGACAAAGAAAGTAAGCAAACCAAATAAAACTTCTCAAGAGGGAAGAGTGAGGGACATATGAGAGCACTAAAAGATACATTCACAGGCCACAAAGTACATTAAACAATCCAGTAAAAAATAAGGAAAGAAGTGGAAGACACAGAGGTAGAAACATCTACACATTACACATCGCATTACACATTCTGTAAACTGCAAGATGCATTTGGCAAAAGTGTAATCCATCTGGGACAATTCATTTCTCCCTCTGAATCTGATGAGTTGAGGGGTCAAAAGCAAAAGAGGGCAACGCCACGGCCAGCACTTCCCTCCTGGCCTGGTACACCCCAGTACACAAGCAGTGTTTCCTTCATTCAGCCCTTTCCAAGCCGTGCCATTTCCCCAGCACTCACCTAGGTACACACCTCGAGGTGCTCCGGTTCCTACCACCTGGGTGCCTCCTGTCTGCTCTAACTGGGAGATGACCTCTGGCTTGGAAAACAGAATCCCTGTGGTGAACAAGAAGACATGACTGGCCATGCTGGCAGAAATCCCACCCTGCAGTCCCTGGGACATGGGAGACACTCGTAAAGGGGGAGGTCTGGTCACAGAGGGGCTTAAAATTGATCTGGAAGACAGCCAGGCAGTGGTCCCAGGATGGCGTTGCACTCTCCTCAGCTAGAACACTTAGGGGTCTCAGGGGAACAAAGTGGGCGCAGAAAGGGGCAGCACTGGGGAAGGCAGGAGCCAATCTTGGTCACCTCAGCCCCACTGCATCTCTACAGCTGAGGGGAGCATAGCAGAAGCCACTGTCTGAGCCTGTCTGTGGCCAGACCTGACCAAGCCCTTAAACCTCCTCCCTTGCAGGGTCCATGACACTCCTACAGATCTGCATTCCAGGGAGAGGCCGTACCCAGGGAGACCAGGTTGCTGTAGTTCTCCAGCATGACCTCCCGGTACAAGCGTCTCTGCCCAGGGTCCAGTTGCAGCCACTCGTCCTGGCTGAAGAGCACAGCCACATCCCTGAAGGTCACGGGCTCCTGAAACGGCAAAGCCATTCCTGCTCCACCAGGGGCATTCCTGTAGCAGGAGGATCTGAAGCAAACCATGTCACCAATCAGGGCTCTGAGTGTTCCAGTCTAGCGAGGTGTTCTGCACAATGATTCTATCAGTTAGTACACTTATCATGCGCCTGCTGGAAGGGACACACTGTGCCCTCACAGAACTTCCACAGTGCAGGCAAGTGTCAAGAACACTTGTGATGAGGAGCCAAGTCACAGCAAGAAGCATGCAGAAATTCAGGCTTGGAAACGTGGTCATCCAGCCCAAGTGCTCACAGGTGACTCCAGGCATCAGGTTTTACAAGGTAACTCTAGCTCCCTCAGAGAGGACTGGTGGGAAGCCATGTGCTGTGCTGGTCAGAAGGTCCCACTTCCATATCACTTCTGCCATCTGTGTGCTGGTGTAGAGGACAATGACTTCACCACAGGAGAGTTCAGGAAAGGGCACAGGGTGGCAGGCTGCACAGCCTCTGAACAAGAACCATGGGAAAGGGCTGTGGTCACAATACCTGGACGCATTTGCTCCTCTCCTTCCTGTTCCCTCACTGTTGCACAAGTCATTGATCTCAATCAGCAGGCTCTTTCTTTTCTTACCAATTATCATTACATTTTTATTAATGTCATATTAATTGTCATATTAATGGCATTCACTGTAATATTTCCACACATACATAAGCATGCATAGACCATTTTTATTTTTAATTTTTATGTACTCATTTGGTACAGGGTCTCACTATACAGCTTGGACTTGTAGAGATCCTCCTATCTCAGCCTCCCTAATGCTGAGATTACAGGCATGTGCCACCACACCCAGTTTTAGTGGCCAGTATGGTGTGCCCAGGGTTCTGGGCCAGCACAGAATGTGATATTAGGTCTTGACCTTGGGACCTTGTGTTTGCTAAGCAGGCAGTTAGACCACTGAGCTATCTACCCAGCCCCATGAACCATTTTTAAAAAGCTAAGTAGGAAAGACCAGTAAGCAAGAGAACAAGAAATGTTAAACTAACTGCCACCAGAAAATGTGGTAACCTTTTACTGTATATCTTTTCAGACCTTTTTTACATGTAAATATAGTTCTAGATTGAAACAAAAACAAAATTATGTTATACCATACACCCAAACTCAGTAGATTTTTATCACTGTAGGGATGAACTAGTTTGCTTAATCTATAGGTGGATGTTTAGCTGCTTCCACTATAAAGGCTGGGTTTAGCACCCTTGCACATCACTAGAAAAGCATACAGAAATTATTTCTTTAACATAATTTCTAGAACACTGTGCCGCAGGATGGCTTTCTCTTATCTATCTCTAAATACACCTGTGAGCCCTGGCGGGAGATCACAAAGCCAGGATCTTCCCTAATGTGTAAGGGCAAAAGCAAGTTCAGAGTAAGTTGGGGAGGAGGGGGAGGCGCTTCAGCTCAGTGGCAGAATGCCTGCCTGCCATCCAGGAAGTCCTGGGTTTGATTTCTTTTTGTTTTTCTTTTTTTTTTTTTTTAAAGTGGTTTGATTCTCCCTGTTGGAAGCAAAGGAAGTGACATTGCTCTCCACACCTTTTCTTTTTTTAAATTTTTTTATTTATTTTTATTTATTTAGTGTGTGTGTGTGGCCAGCTCAGCCCACCAGGGGGCAGGGCTGGCTGGCATGTGGTGCTGGGGGATTGAACCTCGGTCCCTGTGCTTTGCTAAGCTTAGCTTGTTCTAAGTAGGTGCTTTAGACCACTGAGCCATCTCACCAGCCCTCTCCACACCTTTTCTTTCAGGATTTCTTGCTTTTTCCCTTTCAGATACAAGTCTTTCTGATGGCTTAGTCACTGGCCAATCTCAGACCAAGAAAGTTTCTGAAGGAAGTACTAGCCATCACTTTGAATGTAATCATCAGAACAGAACAGATTCCTAACACATGAAAGTTGAGCCCATCACAAGCAACAACCTTTAATTGTACTAGGGACTTTGTGTGGAGACAGGCCACATAATTCAAACTTTAACCAACATTTTTTGTTCTCTACTTCTCTACCCTGTGAAGGCTTTCTTCTCTTGTTCTTTTGGGTGAAATCCGCAATCTCATCTAGCCTGGCATCTGCTCAAGTAAACTCTAAAGTTTTGATATGCTGAACTCTATCCCATTTTCCTATGAAGAGATGGGCCTAACCTGCGCCTGACTCTGAACTGCACAGCTTCCCTAATACACTGAGTAGCCAATTAAGGTAGGCTTTCTCAAAGGCTTTTTAGTAGAATGCAAGTGATATGCATCACAATCTGGTTTTTTATTCAGTAATAAAATGTTCTTTTTCTTTGTGGAGAGGTCTTCTAGGTTGAGAGATAGTGTTTTTAATTACATTTCCTCGCCAACCTATCAGTGGTACAGAATAAGTGGCAAGACAGGGCAGAGCAAAGAAATCTCTGGAAAGAGGGGACTTCCCACACTAGGGAAACCAGGCCCTACACCACCACCCAAGCTTCCATGTCCTCTGGCCACCCTCCATCACCACCTACACCGGCCTGGTTCTGCGCAGTGCTGGAGAGTCTCCCTGCCAGCTCCTGTTGACAAAGAGGTTTCTTTCTTCAATCTTTCTAGAAAATCACCCAGTCTCCTATTATGTAGTCATTTCTTGGTATCTGTGAGTGATTACTTCCAAGACTCCCTGCAGACACCAAAAGCAAAGTATATGTAAGTCCCAGTTATGGTTATACCTAGGTGTCCCCCAGTAGCTGCATGGCTTCATAGGGGGGCTTCTGAAAGGTGACTAGTTTATGAGGGCTTAGAGCTGACTCATAGGTCAAAGGTGGGGTCTGGTAGGAAGAGGTGGGTCCCGGGGGGAGGCGCCCAAAGGATGTAGCTCTCTGGCTCCGCATCTCCCTGTTCAGCTAGGAGCTGAGCTGTGTTCCTCTGTCCTGTGCCTCTGCCATGCTGTCCTTCCCTGGGCCAGCTGACTGTGCACTGAAACACAGCCAAAATAACCCTTTCCTTCTTCAAGCTGTCAGGGCTAGGTATTTTATATCAGCAATGAGAAGGAAACCAACAGTTTCTCTTATAAAAGGGTGCAATATCTGCACATAATTTAGGTATGCACTTGCACCCATATACGTTCTCTCTTTTTGGTGCTGGGCATTGAACTCAGGACCAAGCGCTTGCCAGGCAAATACCTATGCTGCTAAGCTATTTCCCCAACCACTCCCATATACTTTAAAACACCTTGGTAATAATACCTAATACAGTGTAAATGCAAACAACTATTATACTCTACTTTTTAGGACAAGTGACAAAAACAAAGGTCTGTACATGTTTAATACATATCCAGTACTCTTCAAATACTTTTGATCTGCATTTGGTATGCAGCACTCCAGATGCTGAGGCTCAGCTGTACTCGCACACATCAGCTGTCTTCAGTTCCTTCAAGGCACACGCTGTCTATTGCTTTGAACCCTGGCATCAGGGGTTAACTCCTCCATGCCTTTGTCCTCCGAGGAGCAAAATGGTACCTGGATTCCTCACAGGGCCCTGGCTGTGGCATTGGGGGCGGGCGGGGGGGTTGGCTTCATTCAATGTCATCAAGTCCTTTGCCCGTCAGAAAAACTCCTACTAACTTCCCGAGTGCCTCACCTACCGGCCGCGTGGTCCCGACACAGGCTCCGCTTTTTAGGAGAAGCGCCACAATGGACAGAATGACCTTGCCACCTCCGAACCCTGAAGCCCCAAGGACACCTTTTACTCACCTGAACCTGGGCTGGCAGCAACCTCCTGGCCATTTCTCCCCGCTGCAGTTCTTCCTGGAGAAGGCGCCTGGAGAGGAGAAACAGATTCAGTTGCCTGCACGCCACTGGCTTCAGGCAGCAGCAGACTAGCTGCTTTTCCTAAACTGAGGAGCTTGGGGTGTGGCTTTCTATCTTTTACCAGCCAGTAATTACGAGTAAATGAAACGAGGAGATTCAAACCTTCTGAGACGTATTAACAAAATAAAGGGCGCAGTCTCTCTAGGCTCACAGAACTGTTAATGCAAAAGGACAAATATTTCAAACTTCTGCACTCGGGCTCAAGAACAGCATCGCCGACTAGAAAAGAATTTAAAATAGAGAAAAGCTCAGCAGCAGAACTCGGGCTCCATCAGGCTCCGTCCTCGGCATCTTCCCTCTCAAATAATAAAAATAAATATTTAGAGGAAAAGGAAGTAATTTTTGCAAGTGGGCAAAACTCATCACAGCAGGTGGATTCACAGTAGGAATCAGGGTCAAACAAGAAAGACTGACAAAAGCGAAAGGACAGGAAAAGTTTAAGCGGGGGCGGGCGGGGGGAGCCCCCACACGGGAACGGCCTGGCGCCGGCCGGGGCGCCCGCACCCCGACCCGAGCGCGCTTCCGGCAGTCCCTTTCCGGGCCCTCGTCAGGAGCCGGCCTGCCGCTGAGACGCCGGCTCGGCGGCCTCGGTCTGCGGGCGAAGACGGAGCGAGCGTCCCCGGCACGCCCCCCGCGGCCGAGTCCACCTGCCGAGGCCGGGCGGCTGGACGGCGGCGGCCGGACCTCGGCGTCGACCCCGCCGCCGGACGCAGCGCCTGGCCCGCCCTCCCCGGCAGCCTGTACCTTCGCCTGCCCGAGCCGCGGCCGTCACGCACGCAGCGCTGGAGTCAAGCTCAGCACCTAGCGCAGGGACACTTCTCGCTGCCGCCGCTAAACCATGGGCGCCAACGCGCGTGCGCGCCGGGACGGCGGCCGGGACGCCCCGCGTGTGCTTTTGGCCTACATTTCCCAGGCGCCACCGCGAGACAGCTGGTACGGTGTCCGAGAAGGGACCGAGGGCTGCGGACTAGAGAAGACAATGGCTGGTGTTCCTGAGAAAGCGGGAGGCGTGTCTTCCAGTTCCGGCCCTCTGCACCTTTTGTGCACTCATTTTATCCGTTATCGTAGTAACAGCGATAGGAAGGAAGGAGGGAGGGAGGGAGGGAGGGAGGGAGGGAGGGAGGCAGGGAAGGAAGGGGTATGTATTCAAACATGTGGACGACTAGTCATGCTTTGCAGTTTCCTCAGGCTGTAAGAGGATTGTTGGAATGTACAGGCTATGTAAAAATTGTATAACCTACAGAAGGTGTATGCGTGTGTGATTCGGTGGTTTGCCGTGCTGGGGTGGAGCCAGGCCTCAGGCTGCGTGATGAGCACGTCTTCTGCCACCAGGCCCAAAGGTAGTATCTATTTTAACTGGCACTCACACTGAGTCAAAACGAAGGTTTAAACTCTGTATTTCCCTTTCCATGACACTCATTCCTTCTTTTAAAGGGTTCTTTTAACTGTGAGATGAAAGCAGCCTCCAAGGCTGTCATCGTCCTCCTCGCAGCTGCATCCTCAGGGACAGTGCTGCATGCACTAAGTAACACAGGTCCATGCTGCAGGGGCTGGGTGCTGAGGGTCGACCTCAGGCCCGCGTGCGTGCGGGGCTACACCCAGCCCCTGTACTGATTTTTAAAATATCAGACATTATAGTTTACAAACACGGACATAAAGCCAAAGGGTTCTTGCAGGTGGAAAATGAACAGATGGCCTAGGACGTACTAGGGAAATCATCTGAAAGAAGCCTGGGGACCGTAGTGTCACAACAAAAACACAAAGGTCGTCTTGATATAGGAGAATGTATCCTCTCTATTATGAAACACTTTGGGAGCAATTTCTATCAACTGAGAGAAATTCATTCCTGCAAACCTTTTTGACTTCTGCAGCTTGTGTCAGATATCTGGGGCTCACCGAGCAGCATAGTTAAGCCCTTGATATAGAAATTTAGCATTATGAGACAGGAGCCTGATGTCTGCAGGGAGCAAAGAGCAAGGAGCAGAGCCCGAGGAGAGCGGCTGTCTCTCCTGTAAACTTCAGCCACCTGGGACTCAAGACTACAGATGACAGCTTTTGCTGCAGGCGCCCTCTCTGTCCTTTGATCCCTTGCTTGGGGTGTATCTGGCTGGCACTGTGTAAACTTAGAGTTAGGTAAATGCCAGAAGGCAATAAAGAGAGTAGTTTGTGTTCACAAAATTGGTTGTGCACATTCCTTACCCTGCTTTTTAGCCCTCAATAAATGTGAGAAGTTTCCCTGGCTTGAGGCTCACTTTCAGCGGGACTGAGCTGACCGAGCCCTCTGAGGCTATATTAATCCAGTCTTCCTGGAGAGTCATTTCTTCCGGCTCTGACTTATAACACACAATACCTTGATATGTGTCATATAACCTGTCTAGACAAGATCTGGTGGATCCTAGTAAAAGGAATCTAAAAGTAATCTAGCAAATTTGTTATAGATTTTACCTGTAGGACTGGGTTTTGGCATATTCTAGAAAAGAACAAATTTTCCGAGAGATTAGAGCAGGCATAATTGAAGCATGAGCGTAATAGCTAACAGGTAAGTTTAGAAACACCCCCCCCTTTAAGACATAGCAATTTTAACCTACTGACTCTTAGACCCCTTTCTGTCTGACAGTTTGCTATACATCTCTCTAGCTTTAGTTATAATTATCTCTAAATTTACTATCAGCATGAAATACCTGAGTTACATCAGAAATCAACCAGGTGAACTTATATATTTATCATGAAATACATAGCAGGGAATACCAGTACATTTAGTGACTAGTTCAAATGCAACATATACAAGAACAAAACAGTCATAGAATGTCCCATTAAAGAAATGTCATAACCTTATAACATTTCCATATTTTAACTTAAATTTACCAACAATATTTTTCCCAACATTTTAGCAAACCATATAGAAGACAAAGCATAAGCAATAGTAAGCAATTTTGACAACTATATGAGACAATTGTAAAAGCAAAGCTTGAACAATTATGAGCAATGAGCAAAGACATATCAACATTTGAAGCACAAAAATTTGTTACCTAATCGAGCCCCAATCCAGAGTCTATGAAAGGCAAACTCATACCTCCATCTAATGATCCCGATGGGATCTCTAAATGTATATGGGAATGAAACTCCCAAGCTGAAAGGTACCTGGGACAAGTTTGTGTTTTCTAAAACCAAACAGTGAATTTCAGGAACAAATGGAGGTTAAGAGCAGAATATGTTTATTGGGTGAAAGAAAGCTTCTGTCTGAGAGAGTGACAGAAGGGGGACTTGAGTGGGTTACCTGGGGAATCTGGCATTCCTAGGGATTTTTATAGAGTAAAACCAGGTGGTGAGGCAAGTCAAAAGTGGAAACATGGGAACTTGCTTAGGTGGGCATGAGGTGGGCCAAAACTGTGGTCAACCAATGAGATTCCAAGAAGTATCGTTCAGGTAAAATTCATTAAATCCAGGACCAATAGAGAGTGAGTTACATAGCGAGTGGGCATGAACATGAAACAGGAGTTTATCCGGTAGCTGGCAGTGGTTGGATTAGTGACTCTTCCTGACTCTCAAGGTGATGATCTGTCCCAGATGCTAATGTTTAGGGAGGGCAGCATTTGTTCGATCTTTGATCTTTGGGTCTGGCCCACAGCGGGAGCATCCGTCCCTCTTACAGTTGCAAGGTGTCTTGTTTTTGCGCTGTCTCCTTTGAGGGCCTGGCCCTGTCTGACTGCCTATAATTTTCTGTCTAATTCAGCTGCCTGCAACAATTTCAAAGTGAAAATAATTAAATTGGACAAAATAAGTTGTTTCTGAGTCAAAATGGTATTGTGAAGGTTATTTAATAATAGCATCGAAAACCTAATGATTGCAAGAGAGTGGCAATGAGAAAAGAGAACTACGACCTACAGCCCTAGTTCATAGTGAAGGTGTTTTCCAAGATGTTCAGAGTAGGTCTGGGGATATATCTTAGTGGCACAGTGCCTGCCTGGCAAGCATGAGGTCCTAAGTTTGATTCCTGATGCAAAAAAAAAAAATATATATATATATATATTCAGAGTAAGCTAAAATAAATAAAATTAAAAATTTCAAAAAGTTAAGTGAAAGAGCATTTGCCTAACATTTGAATTGGAAATGCCAACAACTACTTTTTGGTTCCTTCTTTTTATTTATATATTTATTTATTTGGTACAAGGTCTCACTACACAGACTCATAGTGATCCTCCTGTTTTCAGCCTTCCCAGTGGTGGGATTACAAGTGTGCACCACCACACCCTGGGTCTTGGTGGCCGGTTCTGTGTACCTGGGGTTGGGGACAGCACGGCACATGGTTCTGGGGATTGAACCCAGGTCCCTGTGCTTACCAAGCAGTAGCTTAGACCACTGACTATCTCGCTAGCCCTGGTTCTTTCTTTAAAAAGTAAAAAAAAAAAATTCCTTTGCCTGTCTCTATCTATTGTAAAGCCCTAGAAGGAGTGCCAGTTCAATATCAATTAGTGACGAAAGAACATTCAACACAAAAAAGGCTCTTTAATATTCTGGAGAACATTTCTAGTTTTTTATTGAAAATGGAAAGCATACTTTGGGTATGAAGGCAAAGTTTTTGAATAAAATAAATATGAACTGTAAAAAAAAAAAGGCTCTTTAAAAATGAACTATAAATCCAAGGCACTAGTGGCTGAAATTGAGAAAGCTAGCCACGGGCATCAGAAGAAGGACCCAGCCAGAAGGATTTCTAGTGGACAAATGTGGGAAAATTTTATATTAGCAGCAAAGGAATGAAATTCCTCAAATACTCTGTCTTCTACTTTTGCCAAGATAGAGTAAAAGGAACTGGAATCACCCTACCACTCTATTTATTTTTCTCTTTGCAGTGCAGCGCTGGGTGGGTGTGAAATTTTTAATTTTATTTAACAAGGGCCTGAGTTCAATCTCCAGTTCTGAAAAAAAAAAATTGAAACCTATTTATCAAATGACATTTTTAGTGAAAGAAGAGACCACCCACAGACAGAAATAAAACCATATATCTGATAAGGACTTCTACACAGAATATATAAAATACTTAGAAAATTCAATAATAAAAAACCAACAACAAAACCCCAAACAACCTAATTTTTAAAACAGGCAAAAGAATTGATCGCGTTACCAAAGAAGACACAAGGCTGAAAGAAGCTCATGTAAAGCTGCAGTCTCCCTGCTCGCTAGGGAAATGAGAGGCAGACTTCAGCCAAACACCGCGCAAGACGCTGCGTAATCCTCTCCCGGCACGGCCACATCCTGGGGCAATCCAAACCCGAGAATACGACCTTAGACAGCAAAGCAGAATCTGGGTAAGGTGACAGGGAAGTCTCTTGAAGTGGGAGAGGATGTGGTAATAGATTAGTATGGAAAACATCAGCATGCACGTGTGTCACTTGGTCCAGGTGTCTCTTGGTCAACTTCCCTGTCCCAGGGGCAGAATACCCAAAGCCCACAATTCAAGGGAGGACTCAGAGCCCAGGAGCTTTCAGGCCATTGTCACCTGGCTCCAAGGTGGAGACAGCCCAGCAGAGGGTTGCGGTAGGGGAAAGCTGCTAACGTTGTATCTGGGAAGCAAAGTGCAGGGGAAGAACAGCAGAGAGAAAGGGGACAGGGAGAGACACAGTCCCAGGCCGCACCCCACGGCTGCGTCTCCCACTGTGGCCCGCCTCCTGTAATCCGTGCAGCTCTAAACTCAGTGAATCAACACGGTGATGAGACTAGGGTACCATTACAATCAGACTGCCTCTCTGCGGAGTCTTCTAATCCAATCGGGTTGATAGGATTAAGTGGAACAAAGCAGAAATCACTAGACAGAACTGTTTCTCGGTATGAACACATGGATTAGTATGCACACACACAGTAACGCCTCAGTTCATGAACGCTTCTGTTTGTGAACAATTCAGTTCAGCAGAATTTTGCTTGCATCGGAGATCTCTGGATGGGCGATGAAGAGGTCCGCAGGCACCTTCCCTGCAGGAACGTGCAGGCGCCACCCTCAGCGCTCGGGCTCGGCCGTGGCTCGCTCTAGCCAAGGTCATGGCCGCAGATGGGCCTGTGCTCGCCTGCTGTGAAGCACACACGGCGCTGTGCAGCATTATTCATCCGGCCTGGCTCCAGAGAAAGTGCAGAGTGAGTGTGGTTGTGCAAAGGAAATAGAGCGGCAATGGGGGCGATGGGGGTGCAGAACAAGAATGGCAAGAAGGAGGTTTTGAGGAAAATGACATCACACTGAAGAAGCAAACTGCAGAAAAGCATGAGCGTGGCACCCCCGCGCCTGATCTGGACTTGCAGTACGAGACAGCAGAGTCGACGCTCTTGATGGTGTTGAAGAATAACAGTGCCACCAAAGGAGCTGATGTGGCCCAGAAGTAAGGACGCTAACCAAGCAGAGGACACTGCTGCAGGATGTGGGAAAACGTTTGCTAGTGTGGCTCAGGGAGAAACAGCAGGCAGGTGACAGCGTCAGTGCAGTTACGTACGGTCCAGAAGAAGCCAGGAAATAGCAAGTAACTCGCCCTACTGCAAGTGCAACAAGTGAACTTGAAGCCAGAGGAGGCTGTTTGATAAACAGCGCAAGGGAAGCGGCGTCCACAGTGATGGGATGTGGTGAGGCCTCCAGTCTGACACGGCCGCCGCACATGCCTGCAAAGAAGAATTTGCAGAGTGCATGAAGGCAGAAGGTGCCTTACTGGACAAGCGTCAGCCGTGGTGGAACTGGGCTCTGCCAGAAGAAGATGCCGAGCAGAACCTGCACCCCGGCAGGAGGCAGGAAGATCCCAAATCCAAGCCCACCCTGGAGCTTAGGGAAGGCCCTGGGTCCCCCCGGTGCTGAACGAAAAAGAGGCTACATAAGACCGCTTGAGACACTTTGAGTGACTGACCCACCTCTGGAATCTCCCACATGCACATGCAGGGGACCTGTTAGTAAACTCCTATTGTTCTTCTTTAAATTTATTTATTTTTTCTGTTGTTCTTCTTTTATTATCTTTTACCAATCTGCTTTTACAACCTTTCTATAAATCTAACATTGTTTTCAAATTTAAAAATTTGTATTAATCATGAGAGCAGGGAAAACATGTAGGATTATTCTAATAGTAAGTAAATGAGCATTATATGTGTTTAAATATTTTCACAGTGTAATTAGAATTTCTTTGATTTGTAAAACTTTTGCTTATATATTTGTTTTTATTTATATTGTCACCCTTTAGAAATTATTTGTCCTTTGTTTTCCCTCTTACCTCTTGAGGCAATAGGGAAAAATGAGGAAGACCTCAGTAGGCTAAAAATTTTACTGGGCATCAGGGTGGAGCGCCCTGGGGGCACTTCAGCCTTTCACAGTCTTTAGCCCACTTTACGGTCCTCGCAGCAGGCCCTTGCTCTGTGACTAGAGCGTTGGTACCTCTAAGTCCACGCCACTCACACGTGTGTGGCTCCTTGGGCTTTGCTCTGAACTCACTTGAAAGTCCTGCTGTTGGGCCAGCAGGATAGCTCAGCGGAGTGAGCGCCTGTTTTGGCAAGCGCAGGGACCAGGGCTTGATCCCCCCAGGTCCACACTCCTCACCAGCGCTGCCCCGGCACACGGAGCCAGCACCCAAAGAGTCCAGGCATGGTGGCACACGTGTGTAATCCCACTGCCAGGGAGACTGAAGACAGGAGGATCACTGCAAGTCTGAGCTGCATAGTGAAGCGCTGTACCAAATACATAAAGAATAAAAGTAAAAGAAAGAACAGCTGTATCAAATAGCCTAGGCTACGCCAGCTAGGTTAGGTACATGTACTCTAGCGCTTAAACAAAGATGAAACCACCTAACAAAAACGTTTCTCAGAATGCTAACAATACATTTCTCAGAACATGTTTCTATCATTGACACATGACCACATGTGGAAAACTGAAAATTCATATCGTACAGAAAATGACAAAGTATTAAATAATTGGGGGTACATTGGGTAACCACCACGAAAAGGAATGGAATTGCCAGACATTTGGTCAAACGTGTTCTGGGCACGTGTGGTATTTCTGGATGAGATGAACATGTGAATCGAGAACATGGTAAAGCGAAGGTTTTAAAAGAATGCGAGAGGGTCTCATTCAACCATGCTAGGGTGGGCCTAGAACTAAGGGGGACAGGAATCCCCCTTGCCTTGCCTGTCCTGAGCTGGGACGGCCATTCACCCCTGCCTTTGATCTTGAATGGAGTCATCAGCTTTGCCAGGTTCTCGAGTCTGCCGGCTGCCCTAGAACTTAGGCCATCAGCTCTCGCGGCTCTTGGGTGCTCGGGCTCTGCTACTGCATGCCCGAGGCTCCAGCTTGCCACCTCCACACTTGGCATTCCACCCTACAGAATCGCATGCACCAATTCTTGATAATAAATCTCATATAGATTTGTGTTATATATACATATATAAACTTTACAAATGAATCTAATATATGAGACTTTCCTTTCACTATACAACTCTGACTAATGTAATAGGTATTCATATTATCTGCAAATAGGGAAAGCTGTATATTTTCTAATTCAATAATTATGCCTCTCTCTCTCTCTCTCTCTGTCTCTCTCTGTCTCTCTCTCTCTCTCTCTCTCT